GTATGGTTTGTTATCAGATAGCATGATACTTCCAAAAATTGTTCTTCTTTCTCATGATTGTTTTTTCTACTCAGGGCCTTTGTGGTTCCATATAAATTTTAGTACTATTTTTAGTTCTGAGAAAAATGCCAATAGTATTTTGATAGGGATTGTATTGAATCTATAGGTTGATTTTGGTAGTATGGACATTTTAACAAGGGTATTTATTGCTATATATTAGCATGGTATATGTTTCTATTTATTTGTATCTTCCTCAATTTCTTTCTTCAATAGTTTATAATTTTCTGAGTACAGATCCTTTGCTTCTTTGATTAAATTGATTCCTAGACTTTTGGTGTGTTGTGTTTTTTTTTTAAAGAAATTTTAAATGAGATTATTTTCTTAATTTCTCTCTCTGATAGCTCATTATTGGTATATAAAAATGCAACAAAACCCTGTCTTTGTGGCTCAGTTGAGTGAAGCATCATCCCATGCACAAGAAGGTTTCAGGTTCAATCCCTAGACTGGGCAGGTATGGAAGGCAATCAATCAATATTTAATCAATCAATATTCTCTATCACGTTTCTCTCTCCCTCTCCCTCTTCTCTCTCTCCCTGTCCTGTCCCTGTCCCTGTCCCTTTCTCTGTCCCTCTCTTTCTCCCTTTCCCTCTCTTTACAATCAATAAGCAAACCTGGCTGGTTTGGCTCGGTGGATGGAGCATTGTCCTGCACAGAGGGTTCCGGGTTTGGTTCCAGTCAAGGGCACATGCCCGGGTTGCGGGTTCTATCCCCAGTAAGGCATGTGCTGGAGGCAGTCCATCAAGAATTCTCTCTGATTATTGATGTTTCTATCTTTCTCTCTCCCTCTCCCTTCCTCTCTGAAACCAATAAAAATATATTTAAAATAATATAAAATCAATAAGAATATACTCAGATGAGGATTTTGAAAATATGCAACTGATTTCTGAATATTAGTTTTTTATCATGCTACTTTTACTGAATTCATTTATCAGTTCCTGTATGTTCTTTGTGGACTCTTTAAAGTTCTCTCTAATATCATGTCACATGCATCCTTTCTAATTGGATGCCTTTTACTTCTTTTCTTGTCTGATTGCTGTGGCTAGGACTTCCAAAACTGTGTTGAATAGAAGTGGTGAAAGGGGACACTCTTGTTTTGTTCCTGATCTTAACACATTGTGGACCAGGTGTTTTCTTGCTAGCTTTACCAAGTGGCCAGATGAATTTCTATTGAACGAGTGAAAAAAGTTTTACATAAATGTGAAAGGCATGCTTTAAAATTAAATACCCATTGCATTTTGAAGGTATTTATTATGTGTTCTTACAAGCTTATATCTTTTTAAAGTGTGATAGTTTGCAAAACACTGTGTAATATGAAAAGGAACTAAACAAAGCTGGCAAATGTAACGCGTTTCTCTTCTCTTACTGCTACTTTAATAGGATATTCCTTTTTATCTGAAGATGGAATTTGCACAGGGATGTCCTGCTTCTTGTTGCCTGATAATCTTTGTGAATGATCTATCCCAGGAGGTCTTGTACTTCTAACATCTGATGGATTAGGATTGCTAAATTCTGGATCTGCTCATTTATCTACTTTGGATGAGATCCACTCTGTTGCTACAGTTAGAAAGGCTTTGTATCTTACTTGGCTTTGTGAATTGAGCGCTTGATAAATCCTGAATGACTTGAATAGTCCACAATTATCTGGTGAAGCACTACTTTCTTCATCCATTTTATTGTTTTTTAAGGATATATCTATGTTGAAAGATATTGGCCAGCAAGCTCAACACCTTGCATATAGTTATTATACTGCACAATGGAAACTGGCTTCTTTATTTTCTCTCCAGTATGGCGATTTGTCTTTTCTGTTTTACAAGAGGAAGCATCATGGGTAGTGGAAATGATTTGAATTTCTCTTTTATCAATAATAAAATGTCACCTTTTCTTCTGAAGGCTATTTCACCTCTTTTAAGCATAGAGGCTTCCTCTTTCAAACATTTTGGCAAGCCTCAATTTGTTCCAATTGTTCCACAAACTCTTGTTTTATGTAGTAATAAAGCTTATGCAATTGAAATGCTATTGAAAGAGTTATCTTGACGTATGTGATGCCCCCGTTCCAGATATGGCTGAAGTAGTACAGAATAGAGTTATTCAATTTTTTTCCTTCACCTGTGTAAATTTTCATATTGCCAATATACCCAGTCTTGCTCTCACATACCATTCTTACAGGTAAACCATGTTTAATAATTTCAGCTGGGTTGTAAGTTCGAAACAGAAGATGAAACCTCCAGGGATCGTGCCTTCGTGTAATGATAATTCTCCCGTAGATAGATATATTGTTGGAAACTTACAAATAAAGTGGTTGAGTACAGGTTGAATTTTAAATAGGCTGGATGAAGATTTAGTCATGTTTGCATTGCTGTTGAAATGCCAATAAGTCCAGATTTGTTGAAAACTGTTTCGACTCATTGTCTGAGGACACATTGGAACAGCTAGAACTGAATCTGTAGACCAATATTCTTTCCAAGTATTCTTTCCAGTATGCCCCATTAGCACTATAAGTCCTAAAAATGTTTTCCTATCTGTTGGAGTAACAGGAGACCATTTTATTGCTTTTGAAGTTTTGTGCTTTCCTAAATTTTGGTTATAATATATGTTTGATTGATGATAAAATAGTTCAAACAGATCACTGTCAACAATCAAGTTGGAGACTTCAATGATGTTCTTAGAATGAGACAGTATAACTGGAACCCCAGAATTACCTTCAATTTTTTCCAAATTAGATTGAAAGTTCTATTTTGACCAATCATTATTTTGGTAAACACGATGCAAATTACACTCAAAATCATGTGTGGAATTGTTCAAATTGTCAGGTTCCAAATCACTTGAAATTACTATTTTTGCCTTTTTGAAGGAATAACCATATCACTGCCACTGTAAAACTTTCATCACTTTCACTTGGAATGTCTGATAAATTGTCAGCAGATATATCCAGAATTTTATTATGTTTTTCGTCACTATCCATGGTCACTGAGCACTTTAAAAATACCAAATTGATTTTTTTTTAAAGTTATTTTTATTACTAATGACATCAGACTAATTAGTTTTGATTCCTTTTGTAATTTTTAACTTCAGTTAATGCATTTTCCATTACTGTCTTTCTTTAAATGACAACAATAAAAATCTGAGAATTCTTGGGATTGGCCATAAGCCTTAGAACAGAAAAATGAGAATTCTCATGATCTGTCTGCAATGTGTTAGGAAAAACTGTCCCTTATCTTTTCTCATTTATACAAAGTGGTTTTGTTCCTCTCTTCCTCTCCATTCTTCATTCTCTGTCTCCCCCTTTCCCTCATGGGGACAGCACTGATGTGTAAAACTCAAACATGGTTCTGTGTGATCCACACTGTGGACTCACTTGATTTCCTCAGTCTCAGTCCTGTCTCATCAAATCTATGCCAGGCAGGGGACTGGGCACTAGGAATAAACCGGGAGGAAGACTGACTCTGTCACCACAGCTCACAGGGTCTGCTCTGCCCCAAACCCTGCAGACAGTATGTAGTTCTCTGTTCTACCGGCTCCCCATGTCACCTCCTTCTACTGTTCACTCAGTTGGAAGGTGAATTGGAAGCACAGGTGTGTCCTCACTGCACGGTCTCAGCACAGTCTTCCTCTCTCCCCTCTGTGTGCCCAGGACTCTGGGGCCTGGTGAATAATGCTGGCATCTCTGTGCCCACGGCACCCAATGAGTGGCTGACTAAACAAGACTTCGTGAAGATACTCAACGTGAACCTGCTGGGGGTGATCGAGGTGACCCTGAGTTTGCTGCCCCTGGTGAGGAAGGCAAAGGGCCGAGTGGTCAATGTCTCCAGCGTCTGTGGTCGTGTAGCCTACGCTGGTGGGGGCTACTGCATCTCTAAGTATGGCGTCGAGGCCTTCTCAGACTCCCTCAGGTATTGGACTGGGACAGGGGCCCTCCCCTGGTTCTTCTGCTTCTGGGGGAGCCTTTGCCAAGGGGTTGTTTTCACACAGCCTCAGAGGCTCTTCCTTCCAGATCCTTCTCTCTTGCTTTTTGCCAGGCATTCATTGGGAACCACTTTTTTATCTTCTGGAGGTCTAGATGGGCCTCAGGGCAATGGAGTTGGTTCAAACTGTCCCTGCCCACAGTCAGAAAGCACCTGAGGCAGAATTGGAACTGATCTGAGCCCACTGATCAGCCCATGCATGTACATTACTGCTATGGGAATTGAGTTCCAGGGTCCTGTTGTCAGTGAAGGCCCAGGGAAGCACTTTATTCAGGGAGCTTCTTCATCACATCAGCAGTAGAGACTGCACTGGCTACAGGGCTGAGGATGGCTGTGATAGGGGGACAAGGGGCGAGGTGAGACCGCAGGTAGAGAGAGCTCCTTAGAGGACAGAGGCCTGGGGGTTGACCTGAGTGGGAAAGAAAAGGGAGGCATTTGAGGAGCATAGGAAAGATAAAACGGGCACAGCCCAGTTTTTTATTTCATGTGGCAGAAATACAAGGGGATAGAATTAAGTGGTGCCTTTCAGCAGAATTGGTAGGATTTGAAGTTATAAGCAAATGTATGCAAATACTCATAAAAATACTCAATTTCTACCCGCCCCCCATGGAACCTCCTCATACTGTCCTAACTCAGTTGGAAGGTGAATTGGAATACTAGGAGGCAATAGTATCATCATAAATTTTCTCCCCCGGTCCACTGCACTTCACAACGTCCCACATGTTTGAGCTTAATCTACTGCAATCTTACATTGGTGTTCTATTGGGTTGGGTTTTTTCCAGGTGTTGTTCTCTTTTATGAGACCTCTGAAGTCTTTGCCTCTCTGTTGGTTTGCCTTGCAGGAGGGAGCTCTCCCACTTTGGGGTGAAAGTGGCTATCATTGAGCCCGGTTACTTCAAGACTTTTGTCACCGGTACTTCGGAGCTTTCTAGGAACATCCAAGAGGCCTGGGATAAGGCCAGCCCAGAGACCAAGGAGGCCTATGGGGAGAGGTTTCTGGCACACAGTGAGTGAGCCTTGTGGTTCATGGGGATAGAAGCAAACCACTTTCCTGAGTCTAGATGCATAGTTAGTACCACCTTAGTCTCAGGTCCAGCCTCTGTGCTCTGTCTCACCCACAAACATGGGACCTTTAATTCTATCTCCGTGGTCCCATGTTGTCACTGGTAACCTAAGGAAGGGATCCAGGCTTGTTAGATGTGGCACCACTCTCTTATGTGACCTTCTTATTTTGTTGAGGATGAAACTAAAGCCAGAGAGAAAAGATACCCGTGAACTCCTGGTTAACAAGTATGAGAGCAGCTGGCTTTCAGGCACTTAGATTTCTAGTGTCTGTGGAGACAGACCTTCAGCTGTATGTTCCACATGTTCCTAGGAATAAAGCCAGAGGCCGATGAGAGTGAAATAATTGTGCCTGGAAGAGGGTGGAGGCACCCAATAATAATTTAGTTGGATTCAATGTAGGGGACCAGGAAGTCTAGAAACTCATTCTGTAAGTTGATCTTCATGGTTGGAGTTGGGAATACATCTGGATCCTTTCTCATTCTGGACAGGCCTGAAACGAATTGGATCATTGGATAAAATGTGCTCACAGGATCTGTCCTTGGTGACCAACTGCATGGAACATGCTCTGACCGCCTGCCATCCCCGCACCCGATACTCACCTGGCTGGGATGCCAAGCTCATCTACCTTCCCATGAGCTACATGCCCACCTTCCTGGTGGATGCCATTGTCAAGTGGAATAAACCAAGACCTGCTAAGGCCATGTGACCCGGGATTGTGGTGCATAGTAGGGGGAATTGGGTACTGTGTGAGGGAGAGGATGATGCATCTGTAGAGACAAGTATGGTGCATTTTTGTTCACATTCTCAAATACTATTATTAAAGTAAAATTAAATAATTGATTCAAAGAATATACATTTCTTTAAAGCCAGGGAAGGTTTCTGAGCCTTCCCTGGTTTAAATGTTGCAGAACCTTGTTCTTTCCAATATTCCTAATACTCTGCTGCCCCTTCACCATCACCGAAAACCCTGTGTTATTGTCATAATTAGCTAGTAACAATATAAGGAAGGAAGCAAATGGGAATCAAATAAGAAGCTTAATAATCAAACATTAAGCTGAATAAACTGGAAAGCTGAAGCAGATATTAGGACAGCATTCCAATGAGTTTGCAGGGAAGCTATAGCATCAGCAGACTCATTCACACACTCCAGGGGACTGCCACTGAGGATACCTAATCCCCAAAGCTGACAGGAAAATCACCCCAGGTGCTGCCCTGCACACCCACACTGGATTCCCAGGGGAAGGAGAAGGGGAAATTCCTCTGCTGGCACTTGAGCAGTAGAAACCAGATGATGTAACAGAACTTTTGGACATGGGCAATAAAAGTTGTTAGCAGAGGAGGGAGGTGTTTTCTTCTGAGCATGCTCAGTGACAGCCAGGGTGATGCGAGAGGGGCAGAGCCTAGCCTGGGAAAAACTAGGAAGGTGATCAGATTGGATAGAGAGCGTGGAACCCCAGTTGGTCCAGGATAGGGCTTGATTGGGAGGAGCGCTGCAGCCCTTCACCCTCCTCGCCCCCCACACACACACAGAGGCTGGAAAAATTAGAAAGTTGGTTGGATGGACTGAATGACACCTTGTTCTTTAATATGAACCAACAAAATATGGAGAATTAACAGTCCTGTGACTTTTGCTTATAGATGCTGCCCATTCTCTATGTTTCTGAGGGTGCCCTAGTCTTAATGCACTTAAGCCCAAATAAAATCTTGCCTTCACATTTATGTATTTACTAGAGGCCCGATGCCTGAAATTCATGCAAGGGCCTCAGCCCTCACAGCCCGGGCTTGGTCCAGAAGGCCATCTGGAAGGATGTCTGGTCTAATTAGCATATTACACTTTTATTGTTATAGATTTTTTCCATCACATTTAACCTTCTCCACATGTGTGCCTTTTGAAATTCTTTTCTCTCAACAGCATAAATGCACCTGTTTTCAGAAGTAACACCTGCCCCTGCCAATGAGGTCTGTGGGTCTGTCTTACAATCCTTGCAGTGTCTGCCCCTGTCTCTTTCAGAGAAGTTTCCTGCAAGCTGAGTGGGCTTGGGGTTTGGGGCTTGGGGCAAGGATGGCCTTTGGGAGGGTGAGAGGAGACAGTGATACTTCCTGGAGACAAGGTTGCAGTCAACACTAAGTGTGGCAAGAGCATCCTCGCCTTTTCCCAAAGCCTGCTCTGAGCATTCACTCCAGGGTGATCCTTGGAATTTCCTAGCATAGAAGGTGAACTTGACTTCCTGAGGCCAGATATATTTTTTAATTTACTAAATCTTTGTTGTTCAGATTATTACAGTTGTTCCTCTTTCCGCCATAGCTCCCCTCCACCCTGTTCTCATCCCACCCTCTGCCCTTACGCCCCACCCCCCACTCTCCTCACCCTTATGTACAATTTTTGTCCAATCTCTTCCCACATCCCCACACCCTTTTCCCCCCAAGAATTATCCGTCCACTCCTTTTCTATTTTATTCACCAGTTAATACTGTTCATCAGATTTTTTTTTATTCACTTGATTTTTAGATTCACTTGTTAATAAACATGTATTTGTTGTTCATAATTTTTATCTTTACCTTTTTCTTCTTCTTCCTCTTCTTAAGAATACCTTTCAGCATTTCATATAATACTGGTTTGGTGGTGATGAACTCCTTTAGCTTTTTTTTTTTTTTTTTTTTTTTAATCTGTGAAGCTTTTTATCTGCCCTTCGATTCTAAATGATACCTTTGTTGATAGTCTTGGTTGTAGGTTCTTGCTATTCATCACTTTAAATATTTCTTGCCACTCTCATCTGGCCTGCATATCTTTTATTGAGAAATCAGCTGACAATTGTATGGGTGCTTCCTTGTAGGTAACTAAGTGTTTTTCTCTTGCTGCTTTTAATATTCTCTCTCTGTCTTTTGCTCTTGGCATTTTAATTATGATGTATCTTGGTGTGGTCCTCTTGGATTCCTTTTGTTTTGGGTTCTCTGGCCTTCCTGTACTTGTAAGTCTATTTCTTTCACTAGGTGGAGGAAGTTTTCAGTAATTATTTCTTCAAATAGGTTTTCAGTATCTTGCTCTCTCTCTTCTTCTGGCAACCCATAATTCTGATGTTGGTACACTTGAAGTTGTCCCAAAGGCTTCTTACACTTTCATATTTTTGGATTCTTTTTTCTTTTTGTTTTTCCAATTGAGTGTTTTTTGCTTCTTTGTATTTCAAATCTTTGACTTGATTCTTGTGATCCTCTAGTCTGTTGTTAGATCTCTGTGTAATATTTTTTATTTCAGTCAGTGTATGCTTAATTTCTAGTTGGTCCGTTTTCATATTCTCAAGGGTCTTGCTAAATTTATTGGCCTTTTCTAGGAAATTCTTGAAAAACCTTATAACCATGATTTTGAACTCTATATCCAGTAGTCTGTTTTCCTCCATTTCTTTCATTTGTGATTTGTTACTTTGACTCCACATTTTCTCTGCTTCTTTGAGTTGATAGAGTGGCTTTGTGTGCTAGGTGTTTTGGAGGGCCTAGTTGGTACGCCTCCCCAGTTACATGAGGTGGACACTCTTGGTGTGCCTCTTTGTAATCTGTGTGCATAGTCTTGTTGTAGTTAAGCCATCTTTTTGTTGGATTCAGTGGGAGGAATTGACCTCCTGGCCAATTAGCTGTGATGATCAGTTGTGTCTACTATGAGTTAACTGTGCTGGAGATACTCTTATGAGACAAGACTTGCAGAAGCCTCTGTGCTCAGCTTGGATGGGGCACAGTCTCAGGGCAGAGCAGACAGCAATGGTTTCCCATCAGCCCTGCCCTAAAATATCCCTGGGTCTCCGTGTCTCCAGGTAATCACTGCAAACACCTCTGAGAGAAAGCCGTCCTCAGGTTTTGTCAGCTGCCAGATAGTCCAATTTCTCCCCGAATGAGTCCGGGTCCCTTGAGTCTCCCCTGCAACTGGAGTTCAGTGCAGTCGGGAGCTTTTGTCTCCGTCCTACTTGAGAAAGTCAGCCACATACTCAGTTGCCTGCTCTCTCTACACACTTTAATACTTTTCCCTTCACAGTTCTTATGACACTCAGTGTGCTTTTCTCTTTTCTTCTAGTTGTAGAATTTCCACTCAGGCAGTCTTCCTGTGGTTCTGGATAATGTCCATTTTGTCTTTGTTGTAGTTGTAAATAGTTGTGTGAGGCAGCAGATTAGGTGTTTACATATGAAGCCATCTTGGTTTCTCCTTCTATTATTATTTTTTTTAATATTTCTTTATTGACTTCAGAGAGAAAAAGAAACATCAATTATGAGAGAGAATCAGTGATCGATTGACTCCTGCATGCCCCACACTGGGGATTGAGCTGGCAACCCAGGCATGTACCCTGACCAGAATCCAACTGTGACCTCCTGGTTCATAGGTCAACTCTCAACCACTGAGCCACACTAGCTGGACGTTATCACATTATTTTGTAACCATCACCACCAACCATTTCTGTGGAAAGGGATATTTTTAATTTTTAAGCTTTTTCTTCCTTTTTAAAATTGATTTTCCAGACAGAAAGGCGGGGACAGAGAGAGAAACATCAATCGGTTGTCTCCCAAATATGCTCTGACATGTGATCAAAGCCACACTTAAGTATGAAAGCTGATCAGGATTTGAACCTGCCACCTTTTGATGTTGTGTATGTTGCTCTAACTAACTGGCTTGGCCAATTCTGCATTTTTCTTAAAGCCTCCTTTAGAAAGACTGTTTCTCTTTTACCAACACTTTGACACTAAGTGTAGGGTTTTACCATGCAGGGGTTCTTTTCCCAGCCTTACAAAGGGTTCAGCATTCTGGAGAAAGGGACTGTGTATAGATGATTAAAGATTCCAAAGTTAAAAGATAATTTTGAAAGTCAGAGGAATTTCAGCTGAAGGAAGCTAAAGATTCTTTTCTTGTCTAGGACCCCAAGCTTTTATTATAACATAATTTGTCCCAAGGCAAGTTGGAAATATACACTTCAAAGGGTAAGGTATCAAAGGGTACAGAAGCATTGTCTGTTTGGGGAATAGCCTACAGCTGTTAAGAAGTTTGGCCAACAGGAGGCAATAAAATGCCCTGAGCTGTCTGGCAGTTAACAATCCTATTCAGGTTTAGGGGGAAGTGCCCTTTATCCCTTTCCAACAGGTAAACTACATATGTTGCTCACCCTTGTTGAGTCCCCCAAGACCTATCAACCTTTAGACAGAACTCTTGTAGTTATTACATGCTGGAATTGGTTTCTGGCATTTCCCCCCATATCAACCTATTTTCCAACTCTCCAAACACCAACTGGGTATCCTATCATTTAATTCAATTCTGACACCAACCGCCTGGAGCGAGTGTCAGACTCCACAGGTGCAAGGGCTCCGTCCCCAAGATTGTCCTCACTTTATGGGCCAGTCGCAAGCACTTGACCCCCGGGTATCCGTATTTCTGTCCAACAGGGCTCCAGAGTCAGGGGTTCTCGAAAACCCCCCTCAGTTTCAATAATTTGCTGGAATGGCTCACAGAGCTCGGGGAAATGTCTGCTTACCTTTACCAGTTTCTAATGAAGGGCACAGACAAACAGCCAGGTAAAGTCCAGGGGGAGAGGTCAGGCAGGGTCATGAGCCTCTGTCCCCATGAAACTGGGGTGCACCACACCCCAACTGTGGATGTGTTCACCAACCAGGAAGATCTCTGAACCGCAGAGTTGGTGGAGCCTTCCTCACAGAGGCAAGTTTGATTATTAATTTA